ACCTTTCGCGGGAACAGCTGCAGCAGCCACAACCACAGGAGCAGCAGCAGCCGCAGCAGCAGCAACAGCAGCAGCAGCAAATGAGCCTACTCGCGCTGCAGCAGCAAACGAGCTCCGCCCTAGGCCTGTCGGTAGGAGCAGCTCAAAGTGCGGGGCAAGGAGTGCTGCAGCAACAGCAAATGTGGCAGCAGCAGCAGCAGCAACAGCAGCAGGACAAGTGGCACTCTGCGCCGCAGCACGAGAGTCTTGCTGCTGCTGCAGCTGCTGCTGTCGCTGCTGCGTCCCCAATGGCTGCCATGCTGCCGCACCGCGAGCTGCTTGATTGGCTGCACGCCGGCAGCGGTGACTGCAGCAGCAGCAGCAGCAACAACAGCAGCAGCAGCAGTGGGTTGCGCATTCACTGGGGGTCTCTTGAAACACCTCCAACTCTCTTTGTAGCATCTAAGAATGCTGCTGCTGCTTTTTGCTGCTACTGCGCCATCTCTGCTGCCACCTGCGTTGCGTGTGACGGGCGAATGGGCAGAAGCAGCAACTGCAGCAGCAAAACCAGCAGCAACAGCAGCAGCAGCAGCAGCAGCAGCAGCAGCAGCCTCGGGGATGATTTCGCAGCATCTATAGGTCGCTACAAGGCAGTGTGGGAAGGCCTAGTTGCTGAAGCAAGCGCAGCAACCGCAGCAGCAGCAGCAACCCCAGCAGCAGCAACCCCAGCATCAGCAGCAACAGCAGCAGCAGCAGCACACCTTTCTGGTTGCGGGATTAAGGGCCCCATAAGAAGGCTCAGGGCTTTGTGGGTTGCGGAGCTGCTGCTGCGACTGACGGGGGAGGAGCTGCAGCAGCAGCAGCAGCAACAGCAGCAGCAGCAGCAGCAACCGAAGTCAACTGCTGCTGCTGCTGCCATCGCAGCAGCGCTCTCCTCCTTGCTGGTGGACGGCCACGCAGGACAGCAGGCTGCTGCAAATGCTTGGGAAAGCAGCAAGAAGCGGAAAATCAGCAGCAGCTGCAGCAGCAACGGCAGAAGCACCAGCACGAGCAGCAGCAACAGCAGCGGCAACAGCAACGCCTGGGGCTGCCAGGAAGCTCCAGATGCAGCGCTGCTGCAGCTAGATGCCGACTCTCTGTGCGTCGGGGTGCTGCTGCTGCTGCTGCACTTGGGTGTTGCAAGCAGCAGCAGCAGCAGCAGCTGCAGCTCCGCAGCGCGAGAACCAGAACCAGCAGCTGCAGCTGCTGCTGCTGCTGCTGCTGGCTGCTGCCTGTTTGGGGAGGTGCTAGCCAGGCTTTCTCTCTGCACAGCGGAGCCAATTGGCTTCTGTTTGCTGCAGCTGCTTGCTGCTGCTGCTGCAGCTGTTTCGCGAAATGGCTCAGGGCAAGCTGCAGCAGCACTGCCTGAAAGCGCAGCAGCAGCAGCAACAGCAGCAACAGCAGCAGCAGCAGCAAACAGCGTCGAACGGTGCAATGGCGCGCCTTTCGTTGGAAGTGGGTTATCTTCAGAGCGGAACTCGAGCAACGGCAGCTGCAGCAACAGAAGCAGCAGCAGCTGCTACAACAGCAGCAAAGCCAGCAGTAGCAGCAGCAGCAGCAGCAGCAGCAGCTTGCAGTTCTCATCACTTTTTTTGGACCTGGTATTTGATTTGTGGCTGGCTTATGCACGTGCAGCAGCAGCAAATCCTCTCGCAGGGTGGGCAGTGCAGCAGCAGCAGCAGCCGAAGCAGAATCAGCAGCAGCAGCAGCAGCAGCATCGCCTTCTGCAGGCACTGGTTGCTAGGGACATTGCAGCAGCAAAGCCTCGCATGCTTGCTGCTGCTGCTGCTGTTCTTCGGTGTGAGGCCGGTATTGAGAACCCAAACAGCAACAGCAACAGCAACAGCAGCAACAGCAGCAGCTACTTTGCAGATGACCCTTCCCGTGGGAAGGTTCTTCATAGCTGCGCCAGAGACCCGAGTACTGGTGCTCCTGCTGCTGCTGCTGCTGCTGCTGCTGCTGCTGCTGCAGGGGGGGGGCGCTGGCTGTCCCTGTTTGAGGTGTACATACACCCCAGCTTCTCCGGAGCAGCAGATGCTGCTCATTTTGCTGCACAGGTAAACTGAAATTAGTTTTTCATTTCTAATCTTTTTGTGTCCCTTCGTTGCTTTTTGCTACTGCTGCTGCTGCTGCTGCTGCTTATTTGTCAGCGTATATTTTCTTGGCTGTTTCTTTTTTATTCCGCCTTCTTTGCTGTTTGTCTTTTCTGCTTCCTTCTGTTTGCTGCAGTCTGCTGCGCTGCCGCTTTGGCTTTGCTGCTGCATCTACAGCAGCAACGAGTTGCTGCAGCTGCTGCTGAGGACATCTCCTCTACAGGCCCTTCAGTCAGCAGCAGCAGCAGCAGGCCTCTGCAACAGCAGCAGCAGCAGCACAACGAACACAGCTGAGACCGGTCGTCCTTCAGAGCATCAGCAGCAGCACCAGCAGCAGCAGCAGCAGCAACAGCAGCAGCAGCAACGGCAGCAGCAGCAGCCCCGTGGTGGCTGCTACTTGGGCTGCGTGTCTTGTGTTGCTGGCCTTTCTAGCTGTTGTGCTGCTGCTCGCTGTGTGCTGCCTGTAGTGTCTGTTCTGTCTCCCGCCGCTTCCATGCCGCAGCAGCAGCAGCAGCAGCAGCAGCAGCAGCCGGGCGTGTTCCTAGAGCTGCCTCCAAAGCGACTGCTGCTGCTGCGCCTTCGCCTTCCACGCGGGGAATCAGCAGCAGCAGCAACAGCAGCAGCAGCAGCAACAGCAGCAACAGAAGGGCTGCAATGGCGCGGCTTCGTTCTGGGCTGGCGCCTCCTGGCGCGAGAGCTGCTGCTGCTGCCGAGTGCAGCAGCAGCTGCTGCTGCAGCGAAAGGCAACCCTCTGCTCCAGCCGCCTGCAGCAACGCATCCCCTTGCGGCCACTCTGGCCTCTGCTGCTGCTGTTGGTTCTGCTGCTGCTGCTGCTGCTACGCCTTGCGACATGCAACAGCACTGGGGGCCCCCTGGAGCTTCGCACTGCCGCAGCAGCTGCAGCAGCTGCAGCAGCTGCAGCAGCTGGAGCAGCTGCAGCAGCTGCAGCACAGATGCAAGCAGGGAGTGGCTGGACATGTGGGGCCCAGTGCAGCATGGCTTCCATCCCGTTTTAGACCCCAGCAGCAGCAGCAGCAGCAGCAGCGGTTCTCCTGCTGCGCCTGCGCTGCTGCTGCTCCCGTTGCAGCTGCCACTAGAGACTCCTGCTGCTTGCTGCAGCGGGGGCTGCGCGCCTTCTGCTGCTCTATTGGGGGCCCTTGGAGAGCTTAGAGACGCAGCTTTGCGGCTGCTGCTGCGACTGCCTGCAGCAGCAGCAGCTGCTGCGGCTGCTGCTGCTGCAGCAGGCATGCAACGGGAGATGATCCCGGGAGCCCAGCAGCAAGTGCTGCAGTGGGCCATTAGGAACTTGGAGGCCGCCTTCGCCTGCTGCAGTGCAGCAGTGGAGAGGCAGCAGCAGCAGCAGCAACAGCAACAGCAGCTGCTGCTGCTGACAGCAGCGGTGGCTCTTCACGTGCCGCTGCACTGTTTGCTGCCGGCGCTGCTGTTGAGGGGCCCCCACCCTTTGCTGCTGGGGCCCCTTCTTTGGTTCATTTTGTTGCTGGGCCCCCTGGGGGCCTCGCTGCCGTCGCCGCGCGTGCTGCTTGTGCAGCAGAACAGCAACAGCAGCAGCAGCAGCAGCGCAGCCGAATGTGCATGCAGTGCTGCTGCTGCGTCTCCTGTGGGGAGCCTCATAGACAGCACTTGGGGCCTTTGTCTTCTTTGGTTTGAAAGGGCCCCCTGGCTGCTGCTGCATGCGCTTCGGTGTCTCAAGAGGAGACAGAGCAGCAGCAGCAGCAGCAGCAGCGGCGGCGGCTTCCGGGCGAAGGAGCAGCAGCAGCAGCAAAGGCAGCAGCAGCAGCATGTGTTCCCTGCAGCAACAGCCCTTCCAGGGGGCCCCCTGCCGTGGCGCGCTGTGCAGTAAGGCATTTGCAGCAGCAAACAAAAAAGATTAAATAAATAAAAAATAAATTAAAGTAAATTAAAAATAAATAAAAATAAATGAAAATAGGAACAGATAAAAACAAATAGAAGCAAAAGGAGACCAGTAGCAGCAGGAGAAGACAAATGGAGCCGTAGCATAACAACAAAATCCCCCTGCAGCAGCAGCAGCAGCAGCAACAGCAGCAGCAGCAGCAGCAGGCGCCCAGTGTGCTGTCCCCGCAGGTGTACATACACCTGAAGATCTGCTGCGTCTGTTTGCAGGCTCAGTTTTAATTCTTTTGTAAAGCGCAGCAAAAGTTTAAATGACTTCATTCAGTTGCCCCCTATATTCGCCTCGAGGGGCCCCCCTGGGGGGCCCCCCTGGGGGGCCCCCCAGGGGGGGTCCCCGCAGATGGGGGCCCCCCAGATGGAGGCCCCCAAGGAGGGAGGCCCCCCCTTTGTGCCTTCGGGGGCCCCCAAGGAGGGGGCCCCCCTCTTGCTGCCATTCTCTTTGGCTGATGCATTTGCTCGGCTGCTCGAGGGCAGCTAATTGCTGCTGCTGCATCTTTATTTTGCTGCTTCCATTTATTCTTCCCTGCAGCAGCAGCCCCAAGGGGGCCCCCTGGGGGGCCCCCTAGGGGGGCCCCCAAGGGTGGGGCCCCCTAGGGGGGCCCCCAAGGGTGGGGCCCCCCTGAGGGGGGCTCCCAGGGCCCCTCTATAGTGGGTATAAGGGCAGCTCTGAGTGGCTACCTGGAGGGCCCCCGCTAAGGGTTTAATTTGGCCCCGAAGAGGGTCTAGCGGGTTCCTTCGGGAGCCCCAAGGGGGCCCGTAAAGGCCGCCTTGGGGGCCCCAGAAGCGCTTTTAGAAACCCCAGTAGGGGCCCCCTTAGAGTCTTGGGGGCCCCTGGGGGCCCCCCTTGGGACTCTTGAGACCCGGGTGGGGCCCCGGGGCCCCTGGGCCCCCTTGGGGGCCCCCGTGTTTATAGGCTGGTGGCGTTTGGGTAGGCTTTGCAAGGGTTTGGCGTGCATTGCATTTTATCTTGGGATTAATTCAACCATTTATTTATTATTTTGGTATTATTTATTCTTTTATTATCTTTGTATTCATTTATGTTCCTCTTTTGTGGGCATTTGGTGTTTTCGCGTTTGTGCAGTGGGGGGGTGGGGCTCCCGAGGCTCCGGAGGGCAGCCCGAAGTGGCGGTAAAAGTGGCAATTTTATTATTTTCTGTTAATTAAAATTAATTATAATTCTTTATTTGTGAAGTTAAATGAAATAAAGGAGCATTTAATGCGTTTCGAGGGGCCACACGCACACGCTGCTGCTGCTGCTGTAGCCGCTGCTGCTTGCTGCATGCGGCGGGAGTCGGCTGGCTCTGGATTGTCTGCTGCTGTGCTGCTAGAAAGCAGGAAAAGGAATTAAATTAAGTTTTAATATTTGCTTTTCTTTATTAATTTGTATTTGCAAAAAAGAGGCGACAAGCAGCAGCAGCGAGCTGGCAGCTGCAGCAGCAACGGCGTGTAGCTTTCCTGCGGTGTCTGTACACAGCTCCCGCGCTCGCGCACAGTTCTCGCGGCATCTGCAGAACGAGCGAAACGTATTTATTTATTTTATTTTTATTTTTATTTTTATTTCCCATTTGTTTACTTCTCTAACTCGTGTAGACAGAAGAGCTGCTGCCGGCGAAGCCCAGCCAAGCCCGCCGCCAGGGGCCCCCAACTGAACCCTAGGGGCCCCCATCTGAACCCTAGGCACTCAAACTGAACCCTAGGGGCCCCCCACTGCACCGTAGGGGTCCCCAACTGAACCATAGGGGCCCCCAACTGTACTCTGGGCACCCCGTGCTGCCTAGAGCTTCCACCTGAACCTAAAGCCCCCAAAACGCCAGGGTCACTTTGCCCTTAGAGGGGCCCCCAACAACTAAACCCTAGGGGCCCCCAGCAGCTAAACCCTAGGGG